AAACAAAGTCAGCTTAATGATTTGTGCGATTTCCTGGTACATAAAACTCTACTTTCCTTGGGTCAGTTAGGGGGACATCTGTGAACCTCCTGCATTGGAGGATGTTCAGGCAGAGTCTGGAGGTGAAGAGCAGAGACCCCGGTGCCGGTCCCGTGGGTGTGAGTCCTGGTCCTGTGTGGCCCTGGGCAGGTCACCTCCCCTCTCTGTGCCTCAGCCCCGCATCTCCAATGTGGTACTCTGATGTGGGGACATTAGGGAGGTTACGGGATTTATTTACATCGGTTCTGGAAAGGTATCTGCCTTGCAGTAAGTGACATTTCACCTTTTGCTGCTATAATAGCTCTCATTTTGTGTGCTTAGCTTCCCTCTTCATTCTACATCTCAGAACACCTGATCCCTTCTCACTCACAGTATTTGGTACGTTCTATCAACCCCATCGTATTTTGCATGAAAGACGTTGGAAGTTGTTTGGACATCAGTTTTGCAGGGCGGAGGCCAAAGTCCCCCGTTTCCACCAGATGCAGGCTGCTGCGTCCTTCGCCTGCCTTTGCTGCGGCACAGGCTGGTGCTCTGGAGAGGACGCGGCACCTTAGGCTGCAGGGGTCACTCCGGCCTTCGGCTCTTTGGTGTACGTTGTATTTATTCATTTTTAAATATTTTTTACTGATTTCAGAGAGGAAGGAGAGGGAGAAAGAGATTGAAACATCAGTGACAGAGAGAGAATCATTGATCACACTGGGGATGGAGCCTGCAGCCCCGGCCTGTGCCCTGCCTGGGAATCGAACTGTGAGCCACGCCCTTCAGGCTCACAGTTTGATTTTTGTTACAGATCCATGTGAGCAGGTGGTGTTATTGCCCCTGTTTTACAAAGGAGGTTGTTGAGGTAATGCCGTTAGCAAGAAGTGGGGCTGAGGTTGGCGTTCAGGCTCTTAGTTGCTGCCCTGCCATTTTCTGATATAAATCAGAAGACGGTGTCTTTCATAATCATAAGCATTGTTTTCCTTTCTGCATTAGGGACGGCTTTGGGAGTGGAGGGTTATGTGCAGCCAGGCTATGGCAGAGGAGGAAGTCCGGGCCCTCTCACTGGCTCCCGTTCTGTGGGAGTCTTTACGTCATGATTCTTTTCACATGGAATTATCTGCTTAACTACATGTGTGTCAATGGAATGTGTTTAATTTCCTTTTATTTAATTATGTGTTTCCCCCTGTCCTGCTGGGCTTTCTGTACGTTCCCTTTACAGAAAGCAAAAGAACTGGCCAATAGGCCAATAGGTAAGGGTGTTGGGTTTATTGTAGATGCTAAAACCCAGTTTACTTGAAATTGGGGGTTTAGTTTCCCTTCTTTGTGGGACTGCATAATAGTTTGATTCAGCTATTTATAAATGTTTAATTGTATTTTAAACAATAGGATAACCGAACAATAGGCCATAACATATTGGAATAATGAAACCGGGGGCAATACTCTTTAAAAGCTAGTGTATTCATCTATGTGTCCCTGGAGGGGAAAGTCTTAGCTCACCCTGGATTCTGTTTTTGGGTGGGAAGCAAAGGGTGGTTTCTGCTTGGTCATTCTCCTGCATGTCGGAGAGGGTTTGGTTAGTTGAGGAGAGATCATTCGTATTCCCTCAGAGCCCTCGAGGAGAGTCTGGCCCCCTTTGGGGGAAATGTTCTGTATCTGTTGGTTCTCAACCTCTGATCCTTTGCACCCTTCATCCTATTTGGAATCCTCATCCCTTCTCCCATCTTAACCTCTTTTCTGTGTCTACACTATTTCCTTCATTGCTCTAAAGTTACATCTGAAATGCTGCCTCTTCAGTGAAACTTTTCACAGTGAATGGAAAGAGAAATCTGGCCTTATCTTTATTTCTACTTCTTATTATTCAGGGGTGAAGTTTAATGAACTCCCATTGTACATGTTTCTTCAGTTTAATTATAACGGGCTAGTTTGTTCTGCACATGAAAATTGTTTGGCACAGTGAACACAAGTTGCAATTCAGTTGGTCACTGGACCTTGTTTATTTCGTTCAGGGAAGAGCTGATCACATGTGGGTGGATCAGAATGAAAATGTTCCTGGGTTTATGTTGGCTTGCTAGGGCTGCCATAACAAAGCCCCACAGACTGGGTAGGTGATACAATAGAAATTTGTTTTCTTGTTGTTCTGGAGGCCGGAAGTCAGAGATCAAGGAGTCAGCAGGGATGGTTTCTTCTGAGGCCGCTCTCCTTGGCTTGCAGACGGCCGTCTTCTCCCTGTGTCCTTGCATGGTCTTCACTCTGTGTGTCTCCTCTTTTTATAAGAATGCAGTCATATTGGATTCGGGTCCATCCATAAGACTTCTTTTTAATGTAGTTTCCTCTCTAAAGATGCTATCTCCAAGTAGTCATGTTCTGAGTTACTGGGGGTTAGGACTTCAGCATCAGAATATTGGGGAGGCACAATTCAGCCATCACAAAGGCAAAGGAAGGGAACATCTTGACGGAGACGAGTGTGGGATATTGGTCATGATCTGGCTTAGAACTGGCTAAGTGATTTAGGATAAAATTCAAAAGAATTAGTCTATGGTCCATACTTTCTCAGCTTTTTAGACTCATTGAGCTCTGAAGTACCTTCTAAGTGAGTCTAAGATACTGTGATTCTTACTGCTTATTTAGGAAGATGGTTGGAGAGGAGTTTTTATAACCCTGTGTTTGCTGGTAGAATGCAAAAGGGCTTTTGCTGAATAGACCTTGATTTGAAGTCAGTCTCTTTTCTTCTGCATGAAGCTGAAGGAAACTCGGCTATAAAAATCCTTCTCTTGGCATCTAGCAAGCTCTGTGACTGTGGATAGGTTATACAGCATCCATGAGCCCTTCTTCAGATGTTTGTGTGTGGTGGCCATAGAGTTCTCGGGAGGCTCTCCTTTCCCCTCGGTGATTGTCACAGCTGCCTGCTGCTGATGGATGCTGCCCCTCTGCCCACGTCCTGGGTGGCCCCAGATGCTGAGACCCAGCCCCTGCAGCCCAAGTGGAGCATCATCATAAATGCCTGCTGACTTGCGTGGCCTCCACAACCTGCTCCACTCACATGTCATGGAGACCACTTGTGGCTCAAGGCGGTCCAGTGAAGCAAAGTTTATATCAATGTCTCCAACCTCGCTTACAGTGTGATGGAGTCCTAGACCAGTGGTCGGCAAACTCATTAGAGAACAGAGCCAAATACCAACAGTACAATGATTGAAATTTCTTTTGAGAGACACATTTCTTAAACTTAAACTTTTTCTAACGCCACTTCTTCAAAATAGACTTGCCCGGGCTGTGGTATTTTGTTGAAGAGCCACATTCAAAGGGCCAAAGAGCCGCATATGGCTTGTGAGCCACAGTTTGCCGACCACGGTGCTAGACAGATGTCATTTCAGAGAGGAATGACAACTCATCTGGTTACAATAAAATTCATTGTTTCTTACCTCTTCTTTCTATATTTAATAGCCCCAAAGGGTTATCAGGAAATTATTCCTCTTCCTTTATCTTATCAGGAGGCAGTTGGGGAAAGTTTGTGGGGCAGAGAGGTCGTTTTAGCTTAGCGCATTAGATTTTAAGACCCACAAACTCTGAACACAGACAACAGGGGGGTGAGGGCATGAGTGGTGGTGGTCGGGGGGAGGTGGAGGACAATAGGTTGATAAGAGCACATATGTAATACCTTTTTTTAAAAAAATATATTTTATTGATTTTACACAGAGAGGAATTGAGAGGGACAGAGAGTTAGAAACGTCCATGAGAGAGAAACATCGACCAGCTGCCTCCTGCACACCCCCTACTGGGGATGTGCCCCCAACCAAGGTACATGCCCTTGCCCGGAATCAAACCCGGGACCTTTCAGTCCGCAGGCCGACACTCTATCCACTGAGCCAAACTGGTCCCGGCACATATATGTAATACCTTAATCAATAAAGAAAAGACAACAAACTTTAGTATTGCCCGAAATAAGTGCTAGACTTTTGTCTACCTTTCTAGTCCAGAGAGGACCCACATAGCAGAGCGTGTGTGTGTGTGTGTGTGTGTGTGTGTGTGTGTGTGTGTGTGTATGTGGCAGGGAGGGGACAGCAGCATGCCTTTCATATTCATTGTTCTAGTTAAATTGAGTTTTTATCCTTTGTTTTGGGATAAAACACTAGATGGTTTTTGTTATTAGTTCAGCCAATTCTGGTAAAATTTTATTTCAGCAAAACCATTAACACAAGTTGAGCAGAGAGTTTTCTGTCCAGGAATAAAGATTCCCAAGTTCTACTTGGCTTATCTATAATATTTTAATCATTATATAAGAACAGTGGAATGCAACCCTGTTGGCAGTATTATTTGGCCTGAAGAATCCTCCTAAGCTAACCCATTTACCACTGCTGGATTCTGTTTTCATCAGAAGTTTTTCAGTTGTAAGGCACAGGCATGTATCTCTCTCTCACACATGGATTTATTTCTAGAAAATACAAGTATCCCCAAGGTTGTGTCCTTATGGCTTCCATTTGGAATGGAAGAAAGAGCCTCTATCATCAGATATATCAAATATCAAGGAAGATTTTCATTGGTTCCTCTTGAGTCATATGGTCACCCCAGAACCCAATCCTGGCTGGTAGATGCAATACTGTGGCAAAGCATTTTGATTGACAGGCCCACTGGGATCGCATGGGCCGGAAGTGGGAGGGAGTCCCCAAGGCAGAGTTGTGCGAACAGTCACACACGTGTCCAGTGCAGGTAAAAAGCACTGTGTGTCCTCAGGGGGTGAGTGTTTATTCTTTTAGTTGAAAGGGGATGGGAAGGTAACCGTCATATAACTGACCTGGATTTCTCTGGAAACATGAAGCTACACCTTTAAAATCTGTCTGAGATGAGAAGGTGAGGCCACACTTGGCAGGTGTCCCTCAGGTGGCACACATGGTATGTAGACAGTGGAATAGTGGAGCATGATGGGTGACTTCTTGGAATAAAGGCTCACCTGATCCTGATGACCTCCTCTGCTTTCCCGGCAGGCTTAGATGACTGCCTGCAGCAGTACGTCCACAAGTTTGAGCGAGAGAAGATCAACGGCGAGCAGCTGCTGCGGATCGCCCATCAGGATCTCGAGGAGCTGGGTGTCACTCGGATTGGACACCAGGAGCTGGTGTTGGAGGCGGTGGACCTTCTCTGTGCACTGGTTAGTTTAGGAAAAGGTGATCTGTACCGGAGTGATGTTCTATAGAACTTTGTTCTCTTACATCTCCATTGTTTGCCATTGAGCTTATCATCATCTGTAAAAAATTATATATTTTTTTTATTGATTTCAGAGTGGTAAGGAGAGGGAGATAGAAACATCAATGATGAGAGAGAATCACTGATCGGCTGCCTTCTGCACAACCCCTGTTGGGGATTGAGCCCGTAACCCGGGCATGTGCCCTGATGGAGAATGGAACTGTGACTTCCTAGTTCATAGGTCGAAGCTCAACCACTGAACCACACCAGTCGGGCCATTATCTTCTTAATGATTCATTGATGTGAGCTGGAAGAAAAGATCATCTTCCAGATTAAGAGTTGGAAAATTGGGGCCTGCGAGTTAAATCTGGTCCATGTCTATTTTTGTAAATAAAGTTTTATTGGGACACAGCCATCCATGCCAGTTCACTTAAGTATAATATGTGCCTGCTTTTATGTCATAAGGGCAGTTGAGTATTTATAACAGGGACCATGGGTCCCCCAAAGCCTAAAAGACTACCTTGCCCTTTATAGGAAAAGTGTGCCTGTTACTGAAAAACTCCTTCAGTCTGATTTTTTTAATCTTTCATAATAAAAAGAGAGATAGTCCTGAAAGAAAATGTCTACTAAATTGCAATGACAAGGCTTCTGATTTTCATGTCTGTTTTTGTTCCCCTAGAAGGCATTTTTATTCCGCACAGGCATTTGTGATATTTAAGTAACTGATGCCTGTGGGTGTAATAATCACTATGAAATGGCAGCTAAATAGGAAAAACATGGATTTAGTTTCATTTCCCAGATCAGTGGTCGGCAAACCATGGCTTGCGAGCCACATGTGGCTCTTTGGCCCCTTGAGTGTGGCCCTTCCACAAAACACCACGGCCTGGGCTAGTCTATTTTGAAGAAGTGGTGTTAGAAGAAGTTTTAAGTTTAAAATATGTGGCTCTCCGAAGAAATTTCAATCGTTGTCCTGTGGATATTTGGCTCTGCAGAGTGATGAGTTTGCCGGCCACTGTTCCAGATGACTGGGCTCTGGCTTAATCGTGCGTGAGTTCTGTCCTACCAGGTGCTGACTCCTCATCACACCTGTGGCCGTGGGGGTGGCTCCGTGGTGTGGGCTGCGGACACCTGCAAGGGCGTTGGGTTTGTAGACTGGCTGTCACGGGCTGGGGTCCAGGTCTATCTGTCCTGGTGCCACCTTAGAATGCAGGGTTTACACAGGCCGGCCGCATGCAGGCAGGGGTAGCAGGGCTCGGAGCCGGCCAGGGGGATATACAATGACATCACCGAGGGAAAGAATGTGCTGTCTGGGCCGTGGCCAGCCGGGCCTGCGCTCCGCTGATTACATAACACGTGCTGCCTCGGTGTCTTCTTTGGCTTAAAATGGACAGAGCCCTGACTCCTGCTGGGAGATGCGCTGCTCTTGTTTAGAGAAGTAACGGGGAAGTTATCTGATAAATGAGCCGCCACGAGGGAGACGCCGTGGCCAAGCGGGCGAGAGCTGGCCTGGGGGCGGGCTCCCTGCCCTCTGATCCTGGCCCTGCTGCTCCCCCTTCACGCTGGGGTCTCCAGGGAAACGGGGTGTCTGCTCTCCCTGTCCCCCTGGATGGGCCGTGGATAGTGTGTTTTTGCACTGCCCAGAAGATGTCTTAAGAGTCCTAAAACTGCATTTTTTATATTAACACAGTGAAACGTGTTTGAGTTCACTTTGATTATGCTTTTTTGGAACAGCGCATTTCAGTCTTCTCTGCTCTTATTTTTATTGATTTCAGAGAGGAAGGGGGAGGGAGAGAGAGACAGAAACACCAATGATGAGAGAGAATCATTGATCAGCTGCCTCCTGCGTGCCCCACACTGGGGATTGAGCTCACAACCCGGGCATGTGGCCTGACTGGGAATTGAACCCATGACCTCCCAATTCATAGGTCGATGCTCAACCACTGAGCCACGTCAGCCGGGCTTGCTCTTTTGAACCATCTCTCTCTGCCTTGCGGTGGGGCCCGCGGGCCAGGGAAACCACCGCGGACTCTGCAGTGAGAAAAGGAAGGAGGACGGGGACTGAGGCTCCGAAAGGGCGATAATCAACAAAACAGCTGCCTCCCCGCTGTTCCCCTTCCCCTACCCCTTCAGCCGTTAGACTGGAAGGAACAAAGCTGGCCACCCGCCAGAACCTAAAGCTGTGTTTTATCTCCTACAGTTTCCTTCTCATTTCCTTTGTAGACAAAGTTCTGACCTCAGATTCCTTCTGGCCATGCTTGGTGTGCTGGGCGCCAAGGGATGCGTCTGACCGAGGCTCAGGGAGGCCTCCCGTGGATGGGTCATTTCTGGGCCTGGGAGAGGGTTTTAGAGAGTTTGACTCAAATATCATTTCTTCTTGAGATCATCTCCTTTTCAAATATCCTCATGGCAGTGAATATATTCATTATATCATCTATTTAAATCCATTTACACCGTGAATCCATTCATAATTAATCCATTTATAATCTATACATTGGCGATCATTTTTTTGCCTTGAAGCATTCCTCCCCTGGCCAGTTAGTTCATGTGTACTTACACTTGGCTCTGGTGTCATAAAAGGGGATTTTATGTAAACGTGGTTTGGCGGATGTTGATGTTATGATGGACAGGAAATGAATAGAATTAGAGTAAGGAAAGGGGGAGGGGATGGGAGGAAAAAACAAAGCCGTTAGAAAGTTTTGGAGAGAAAAGGGCATATAGAATGGATAGGAACCTAGAATAGGGACCAGCTACTGGTTAGGATTCCAACACCAGTGAACACACGGCCCACAAATAGCTGGTCCTGGGGGGAGAGCGAGGAGAGAAACCGCCTTTGTGAGCGTTGACCTTGGTGGGCTGGAGGGACTTGGGGGAGAGACTTGGATTGTGAGACAGAATCAGGGCCACAACCTAGGGTTGAACTTAGAGTCTGAGCCCAGTTCCTCCTTCTATCCCAGGGCAGCGGGCAGCGGGGACAGGCTGCTCTTTCCAGTCGCCATGTGACTCTCAATTAAAATGAAATGAAATGCAGTTCCTCCATCGCACTAGCTACACGCCAAGTGCTCGGTAGCTCCTGTGGCCACTGGCTGCCGTGCTTGGTCAGTGCAGAGCGAGAACATTTTCGTTACTGGAGATAGTTCTGTGGAATAGCGTTGGTCTGGAGGGTGGGTTGGAGAGTAAATGATGTGCAATTGTACCCCATTTTCTTTCCAAATCAACCAGACTCTAGTTGCCTGAACACCAAGGCAGGGATAGATGTAACTTTTTTGTTGTTGATGTAGCTGAGAAAGTGGACAGAGTTGGAATTAGTACATTTGTTAAGTGATGCCACCTATATATGTGATTAAATGAAACAGCTGTAATGCATCTCCTCGCACAGGGTGCGTCTGCGCGCTCTGTGCCCTTAAGATTATTTATTGGTCATCATTGACCCAAATCGTTAAAAGACAGTACCCCTTTCTCTGGGGAGAAATGCAGGAGGAGTAATCTTTGCTCGCAGTTGGTTTTAACTTGATCTTTCTTGTGAGCTTATTAAAGTATATTTCTTAGTTTGTAATTTAATTAACGCAACTCAATAAGATGGTTTTGATTGGATGTTTCCGACACTCCTTAATCAAGAATGTTAGATCATGGACAGAACAAGTGGGAATAGGAAAAGAAGATAGAAGAAGTTGTGTTAACATCTCCCTTCCTGCCCTAGTTAGTTTGACTCAGTGAGTAGAGCATTGGCCTGCGAACTGAAGGGTCACAGGTTCGATTCCAGTCAAGGGCACACGCCTGGGTTCCTAGTAGTAGGCGTGAAGGAGGCAGCTGACTAATGATTCTCCTCATTGATGTTTCTATCTCTCTCTCCCTTCCTCTCTAAAATCAATAAAAAATATATTTTAAATAAAATATTTCTCTTCCCTGGAATGTATACAACCTAAGGCACCAGCAGAGTGAGCATCTGTCTGTTTTGTTTTATCTGCTTCGCGTGTCTCTGCCAGACCAGAAAATGGCCCCGAAGGCCAACTTCAGATGAAGTGACAACTCTGGAGAGTTTTTAGTATGTGTGTAGACTTTGGGAGGCTTATTTCCTTTCCTGCCTCGTTTGTATTTTCTTGACACCTTATCTTCAAGCAGTTTCTGAAGGAGACAGGTTTTAGGGAAAAGATTAGTGAAAATAATCAAGTCTGTTCTGAGAAATTGTTCCTTTTCTGCCTCTCATTGTGGGGCACTTTAATCAATACTCCTTTCCCGGTCCTGCCTCTACAGCAGTTCTGTTGAACTGATACCATTAGTTTGTTTTCTTGTTATTGTGGGAAGGGGTGGTGGGGGAAGGGATTTCCCTGCCTAACTTAACCCCTCCTCCCTTTTAAAAATTATTTTTTATTATAGCACATGGATTCATCCTTCCAGTCTCATTGCTTGGTTTTTTTTTTTTTTTTTTTTTTTTTTTTTTTTTTTTTTTTTTTTTTTTTTTAATAGAAAGAACCAGCAAATTGAGTGGCAATGAAAAGAAGAGTTAATAAGAAGCAGCTATTTTAATATTATATGTGGTGGGTTTGTAGGAGGTGGAGGTTTAAAGCTTCTTGCAACACCCACATGCATTTAATCTTCTGAGGATTCAAGAAGTAACGGTTGTGTCGGTAGTGAACGTTCCCAGGAATTGAGGGTCACCAGAAAGCAGGCTTTCCTGCTTTTAGTTCTGAAGGCTTGCTGTGAGATGGCAGCTGAGTAATTGACTGAACGAGGGACAGTTCCCTTCAGTGATCCTCCCCAGCCCTCCGGGACCAGCTGTGTCCGGCGGCTCTTTATCCATTCGCCGGTGAGCCTGATTCTCTGAATTGAAAAGCCACGTGCAAATCCATCTTTTCATTTCTGTCTTCTCTGTCCAAGGACAATTTCATGTGCGAGTCTCTAGAGAAGGATAGTGAGGGGGAAATGAATGAATGGAAAGTTCTGGTAGAACATTACTGTTAATGCAGAGCACTCATTTTTATTGTGACATTTATAATGTATTTTTAAGGTTTGCAAAATAGTTTTTTAGTTCATGGATCTGGGAATTTTTGTGTGTTTTTTTTCTTCTTTGCATTGGTACTTAACCCTTTTTCAAGATTTCTATCTAAATAAAAAAATACTTTTTATTCGACTAGAAAGCAACATATATTGAAACATCAATATATGGAAGAGAGAGGGATAGAGAGTTAGAAAAACATCAGTGAGAGAAAAATATCCACCAACTGCCTCATGCACACCCTCTACTGGGGATGTGCCTGCAACCAAGGTACCTGCCTTTGACTGGATCGAACCTACTCTTGAGTCCACAGGCCAACGCTCTATCCACTGAGCCAAAACGGTTTCGGCTGTCCTTTTTTCTTGTCCAGTTTTCTGTGTGATTGCTTTGCTCTTCCTTGGACAGGAGTGTGAAAGGGGGGCAAACAGCATCACAACCAGAAGCTCGTCCCCTTGGCCCGGATTGCGCGGGTTCGAACCCCACCCCTACCACTGGTTAGCAGTGTAACTGCCCAACTTATTTAGTGTCTCTGTCCCCCAGAGAAAACATCATTTCCACCGGCAAGCCTGTGTACCTCGGATTATTCTTGTCCGGTGCTTAGCCCAGTTCCTGGCACAGAGGCAGTTCGGTCCCATGGGCCATGGTATTGGTCCCGATGGTGAAACAGCACCGGCTCTTGCCTTGGGCTGCGGTGGACATGGTGTTATGTACCCTAGAAAGGCCTTCACTTTTTCGTTAAAATGATTAAACAGATGATAATACAGAAGCTCCTCTCCCCACTCCTGCCGGAGCCGTCTCGGATGGATGTGGTGTTTCCTGGAATTTGCTCTTTATCAGCCAGGGAGTCTAGGCAATATTGTCCTATGAAATGGATTTTTTTTTTAAAGCACCCAAGTCAGTGGGGCATCGTTCAGAAAGAACAGAGGCTCCCGGGACGGAAATTGCATTTCAGGCGAATTGACATTCAGTTAGCGCTGCTCTGCTCCTGGGAGAGTGTCCTCTGATGGAAATGCATCCATGCGGGCCCTGCTTTCCTGGCTGCTGGGCTGGGGAGCCGGTGAGCTGCGCACAGCCCTGCCCTCAGGGATCCTGCCTCCTTGAGGACGGCGCAGCCAATCAGAGGGTTCAGAGAGGGGAGAGGGGAGGCGCTATCCCCTATCTGAGGGGTATTTGGCAATGTCTGCAGACATTTTTGGTTGTTACAACGGCGGAGGGGGTTGCTACTGCTATGTAGTGAGTATAGGTCAGCTAAACATCCTACTGTGGACAGAATCCTCCTCCCACAACCCAGAGTCATCGGACTCCCAATGGCAGTAGGTTGGGAGCTCTGCTCTAGATAGTCCTGGGGGCCTCAAAGAAGAGCAGGGATGTTTGGGCTAATTTTAAAAATATATATATTTTTATTGATTTTTTACAGCAAGGAAGGGAGAGAGATAGAGAGTTACAAACATGGATGAGAGTCATCAATCAGCTGCCTCTTACACGCCCCCTACTGGGGATGTGCCTGCAACCAAGGTACATGCCCTTGACCGGAATCGAACCCTGGACCCTTCAATCTGCAGGCCGATGCTCTATCCACTGAGCCAAACCGGCTTTGGCTGGGCTAATCTGGATGTTAATGAGAGGGGCCTGTCCCTGCCGAGATTTGTCCAAAGAGCATTTTGAGAGAGCAACTAGCAAGAACAAAGTCCCCGAGGCAAGAGCAGGCTGTGGGAGGGACCGTGTGGCCATTGCAGGTGAGGTCAGCGCTGTGGGTAAAGGACGGAGGGCTCTGTGGCCAGTGTAGGAGTGATTCGGGTCACTCCGTGCGCTTTTGCGCTATGATGGCATGGCTCATTGTTTTGCATCAACCTGTCTGGTTTTATTTCCCACAGAATTACGGCCTTGAAACCGACAACATGAAGAACCTGGTTCTGAAACTGCGCGCGTCCTCCCACAACCTGCAGAATTACATCAGCAGCCGGCGGAAAAGCCCCGCGTACGACGGGAACACTTCCCGCAAGCCACCCAACGAGTTCCTGACGTCCGTGGTGGAGCTCATCGGCGCGGCCAAGGCCTTGCTGTCCTGGCTGGACCGGTGCGTTGTGGCTGCTTGACGTCCTGTGAGAGGAGAGCCCGAGGGGACGGGCCTGTGCTTCGTCTTAGGAGCATGAGCCACCGTCCCTGTCCCTGGCCTTCCACGTGCAGGAGGGGCCTCTGCAGGCCTGCGGGGTCAGTGGGGGTCTCCAGCCCCCCTTTGGAAGTTACTGGGACGTGACTGGGAGGGACAAATTAACCCCAGCTTACAGAAGAGCGAAACTGTGCTAACGGTGTGTTTCACAGACGTTAAACATTAATGCTTATTCAGTCATGTGAAGGCTGTTGGTTGTTGACTTCTGAAGGGACATGTATTCTCTTGGCTCATTTTTATTTTTATTTTTTTTTTGTCTAGCACTTCTCTGTTTCCTATTCAGAGACCTGACTGTGTGTTACGTGAGAGGAATGGTTACACAACACACAACTTAAGCTAGCTTGTTGAGGCGCTCTGCTTGTCGGCATAGTGCGGGATCCCAGAGGGGTCCCATCCCCGTCCCCCTCCCCACTTTTTAAAAGGGAATATTTTTTGCTTTTTAGGGCCCCATTTACAGGGATCACTGACTTGTCAGTCACGAAGAACAAAATCATTCAGCTGTGCTTGGACCTGACCACCACAGTCCAGAAGGTCAGTGCCTGGCTGGGGCCTCCTAACCGGCTTTTCCTCCCCTGTCCCTTTCCCTCTTCGTCAGGGGGTTCCGTGCAGGTATGAAGTTCATGCTTTCTCTCTCTCCGTTTCCCCCGTCAGAATTGGGGAGAGATGAAGGCCTTTCCGTTAGAGGCATTGAGTAGATGGTTTCTGAAAATGTAACCAAACCAGCGGCTTTTACCTCAAAGATTACCTTCTCTTCTTTCAAAATAGTTGAGCGAATGGTCCTGTACTTTCTCTAAAATGTTTGAGCACTTAATTGTTTCTTTCCAGATAGAAATTCTGGAGTCACTACGTTTCACAATAATCTTTGTTCTGAGTCTTCTTTTTGTTTTGACCCTTGGTGGTTGGGTTTACCAGTCAGGATGGATGAGGTAGGTTAGGATGCAGTAACAGGGAATCCCCAACCTCAGCATGTATTTCCCGATTATCTAGATCCAAAGGGGTCAGTTTGGGGAGCTGCTCCGATGCTCTTCACTTGAGGATGTAGGCTGGCAGAATAACCAGCATCTCATGTTCCTTGTCCTCGGGCAGAGAGACAATGGACCTTGGAGGATTGTACAGTGACGAATGGTTTGGAAATGACACGTGTCCATTTCACTCACAACTCATTGATTGGCCAGACCTAGGGCCAAGGAGATTTGTATCAACCTATAACTTAACTAGTTTCTGGGACCCAAACTTTAAAAAAAATTCTCATGAGACCATCAGCTCATAAGGTCACTTGTTGTTGTTGTTTAAAATATATTTTACTGACTTTTTACAGAGAGGAAGGGAGAGGGATAGAGAGTTAGAAACATCAATGAGAGAGAAACATCGATCACCTAACTCCTGCACACACCCCCACTGGGGATGTGCCCGCAGCCAAGGTACATGCCCTTGATCAGAATCAATCCCGGGGCACTTCAGTCTGCAGGCCAGCGCTCCATCCACTGAACCAAACCGGCCAGGGCATAAGGTCACTGCTTGTCCTTTTCCCTGGCACCTAGCAGACACCATAAAATATATTTGAATGGAATGGAGGCTATAAAATGTAAGGAAGAGGTTGTTCTTTTTTCATGTTTCATTTGTTTCCAAAATTCTGATCCCACATTAGTTCCCACCGCTGATTTGGCAAAGAGTAAAGAATGTCCTTTCCCCCTCGCTGCCTGTGTCATGTGACAGGTGCAGTTCTGAAGGGCTGGGCGCTTCCTTTTTGTTCCTGGAACATGGAGAGTGAAGTCCGGCTTTGCATGGGCAGCTGTCTGAGGTCCAGTCCTGGCAGCCATTGAACTTAAGGCACATGTGGCTTCAGCACTTGCCGTTAAGGCCATGTTCTTAGACAGGAACTCAGCACTGTAGAAGGAGCTCTGAGTCTCTGCTCTGTTTTATGATGTGGAAAGTCATCTTGACAAAACCAGTCTGATACCACTTTTGGTGCATTAGTCACTCTGTCCTGGCATTCATGGTGTGGAAGACCTTCGGCTTTCTTTTTCTTCTCTGCTTCCCTCTTCCCCTATATTCTGCCTCCTATTTTGATTTTTTAAAGAATTTACCTGAGACCAGTTAAAATGACCGTGTGAGTCAAAGTTAAACATAGTAATTAGCAAAGGGGAACGTTTTGTTCATGAGTGTGTCAAACAATGATTGTTGGTGACAATTCATTGCCAATAGGGATCCCCAAATTGGGGTGTGGGGAAGAAGGAAAACTATTTAGTGTAAAACAGCTCAATTGTGATACAGCAGGGCTGTGAGATGGCCCTGGGGCCAGGGCCCTATCTGTCTAGACAGCTCAGCTCTGTGCCCTGCCGGTCTGCTGCATTCTCTGCTGTGGCCTGCTCCCCTCCTGTCCATGGAGACATCTTTGGTGTTTCAGCTCAGCTAGGGAACAGCGTGCAGTCATTGGTGGAAAGTACACTCTCCTGTGCCAGAGAGGAGCTGGCTTATATAGACAGAAGTCCCTGCCCCTGGTCTCTGATTGGTCTGTCTTCATGCAAATGAGGACTCCATATTCTCACAGTTTGATCAGTTTGCACTGTCCTGATTGGTCAGAGTAAAGCTGCTCTGGTTGGTCAGAGCTGTGCAGCTCCAATTGGATGGGGAAAGCCCAGTCCTATTGGTTGAAATAGGATTCTGGGGGAACTTCTTTATTAGGGCTGGCTCAGATGGCATGAACACAGTGCAGGCAGGCTTCTCCCTGAAGTGCCGCTTCACAATAGACTTACCCAGGCCGTGGTATTTTGTGGAAGAGCCACACTCAAGGAGCCAAAGAGCCGCATGTGGCTTGCGAGCCGCAGTTTGCTGACCACTGACCTAGTGCAGACACTGGTAGCTCTTTCCATCCTTACTCCCGCCTGACCCAAAATGACTTTGTGATTGAAGGAAACTGATGATCCCAGCAGAGGTGATTGATATCCTCCGTGCACATGAGGCAGCCAGCACGTGCCCTGGAAGGCCCAACCTGGGGTTATACTCGGCGGCACTGAGAGCAGGAAGGAAGGCTGGTCTCCCTTTCCTCGGCGTGCACGGGCCTCCTAGCTGGAGTCCTGGGCCGCAGCGGGTTGTAGCCGTGGAGAGCGTTTCGCTTTGGCTGCTTCTGGACGGGACAGCGGTGGTTCCTACAGTCAGCTCACCCGGTTCATGCCGCTTCAGGTCTTTTGTTCTAAAGCTGAGTAAACAATGCCTGGCGTTCCGGCCCTCGATTGAACGTCATTAGTAGCATACCTCCAGACCACATTTTTGGCACCGGGGTACGTGAATGTTTTGTTGAACCCTTCGCATCTGTTGAGGGACAGAACCATCTGATGTCATCTCAGTGGCGCTTACAATAAACTTAGGTGGCTGAGCCCTCACTTGAAAGCTGTTCTCGTAGGCAGGCCCAATGCTAAGGACGCCTGACTGTTGGCCCGGTGCTAGCTGAGCCCCAGGGTCACTTTGGGGAGCCTCCGTCAGGTTTTGTGGACCTTGGCTTCTGGCTACTCTCCGCCTGGCCCTGCCAGCAGGTGGATCTCAGCCCAGTGATTTTGTAGGTTTTCAGGTTAACTCGCCAGTCAGATGGGTCCCCGGGTTGATAAGGCCGCTGGGTCAGGATGGAGCAGAGCCTTAGGAGAAGTTGAATGCCCACTCCATTCCCACTCTGCCCTCTCCATCCAGGTCTGTTCTCCGTCCGGCCTCCTGTCCATCCAGGACTGCTCAGGCTGCAGGGTGGGGGACATGTCGCAGACAGTCTCGAGACCAAAAAATATCTAGATCGCTTAAGCCAGCAGATTTAGTCAAATTTTAATTCTTGTATTTAGTTTTCATTTTTCTTCTTCTCTTCTTTAGGATTGTCTCGTAGCAGAAATGGAGGATAAAGTTCTATCCGTGGTAAGTATATGTTCTCAAAGTTACTGGAACATTCTCTTTCCCCAAACAGTGAGAACTACAGGAATTAAAGCAAGTGCATTGTGGTCTGTTACTTCAGGATATACTTTGAAATACTGGCTCTCGGGATATGGGTCTATCCATGTAGATGGAAAGGGAAGAATAAAAGTTACTTAACAACAAGACCAACTACTGTGCAAATTCCTGTGCTGCACTTGGATATATTGGGGTCGCTCTTCTGCTTTTTGTTTTTTCCCCATGAGCATTTCATCCGTGTGAGGTTTACTTAAACTGATGGCTAGTCTGTTAATCAGGGCGAAACCGATCTGCCGATTTTACTTGAGGACGGTTTTGATTAAAACAAACAAAAAAAATTCTTGGCAAAAGCCTTCCAATGCGGGGGATGTGCCGTGGCTGTTTAATGGCATTTCGTAACTATTCATCATCGTTTCCTCCTTTTGACATGAGCTAGCCTGTGCTCTTTTGATAAGGAATTGCTCCTACTGATGTTGAGGAATTCAGCAATGAAGCTGCTATAAATATATTTTCCATAAATAGGGAGGCTAAACAAATTGGAGGAATTAAAAAAGTGTCAGTTGTTGGATTCTCCCCTGTGGAAAAAAAAGAATCACTCGTTGGAATTTCCTGATTGTTTTGGTTGCTTGATTTTGAAAGGTTAGATGGATCTGATTGGGGGGAGTGCCCACACGTGCCCGCTGTGATTTCTATAATACATGGAGACCGTTGACTAGGGATCTGCCCATTGTCTCCAGAATGTCACCTTGTCAGTGTTTGGCATTCAAAGAATGCGAGCACCACCACCGTCAAAAAAGATCGTGGACCTGAATTTAAAACCCAAAACTATAAAATTCCTGGAAAAGGAACAGGAGACATTCTAGGTGACCTGAGGATTGGTGATGAAGCTTTAAGGTATAACACCAAATGCATGAACCAAATTAACGAGATTAGACTTCATCAACATTTAAGACTCTGGTCCGTGAAATGCAATAAGAGAAGGAAAAGATAGGTAAGTGCCAGGCTGGAAAAAATATTTTAAAAATCAGATATACACAAAGAATCCTCAAAACTCAATAATAAGAAAACAAACAATGCAGTTAAAAAGTGGGCAAAAGATCTGAGCAGACACCTCATCAAAAAAGATATATGGCTGGCAAAGAAGTATCGGGAGAGATGTCCAACATTAGGGAACTGAGAATTAAAGCAAGGCACCACCATATACGGAGTAGAGTAGCTCAAGTTCAAAACACGACACCACCAAATGCAGGCAAGCAGGCGGAGCAACAGCAACCCTCCCCCGTAGCTGCCGGGAATGCAAAGGGCTCCAGCCACTTTGGCAATCAGCCTGGCAGTTTCTTACAAAACTAAACATACTCTTAACCCTGTGATCTAGGTATTTATCTGAAAGAATGAAACACATCTACGAAATCTTGCACAGAATGTGGTGATAGCAGCTTTGTTCCGAATTGCCCAAGCTCGGAGGCAACCGAGATGTCCTGCAGTAGCTAAAGGGATAAACAAAGTGTCCGGTGGTCCATCCGGGCAATTTATTGCTGAAGCGTATTCGGCAATAAAGAGAAAGGAGCTCCCAAACCATGAAGAGAGATGGGAGAGACCGTAAATACATGTTCCTAAGTGCAAGAAGCCAGTCTGAGAAGGCCACAGGCTGTGTAATTCTATTTGACATCCTGGAAATGACAAAATCATGGAAACTGAAAAAAAAACAGGGATTGCCAGGGATTTGTGATGGGGGAAGAGGGAGAGAGATGACGAGGTGGAGCACGGGGGATTTTTTGGGCAGAGAAACTATTCTGTAAGATTCCGTCATGGTGGGTACAGGAGGCTATACAGTTGTCAAGACCCGCAGACCTGCACAGCACAAAAGAGAACCTCGTGTCAACTATGGACTTGAGCTCATCATAATCTCTCCATATTGGATAAGAAATATAACACACTAATGCAAGATGTTAATAATATCTTATTATTATTTATACTAGAATAATATAACTATTGGAAGCTGGTGGAAAAGAAAGTATGGGGGAACTCTGCACTTTCTGTTCAATTTTTTCTGTAAACCGAGAACTGCTTTGAAAAACAAAACTGATGAAAATAAAACAGGTGCAGGTAAAGCGACTTGGACCTTGTCAATATGTGGAATGCAAAGAATGCGAATGATCACTAAAAGGTTACAGAGGGCTGCTGCCTGAGTGGTTGTAAATGAGACAGTATGAAAGCTGCCCCCATGAGGCAGAGCTGAGAGGGGCACATTCCCACAGAGGGTGACACACAGGGAGTTAAAGGGCCATGCGTTCGTGGAGCGGTTGTCGAAACAATTGCCAACCAGAGCTAAGGATTGTAGGTGGAGCGTGTTGCTTTAAAATTCAGCTCCAGGCGAACCTGGTTAATGATTGAGCCTTTCCTGACGCTTTGCCTCTCCAATTCCAGGTCAAGGTTTTAAATGGCATCTGTGACAAAACAATCCGCTCTACCACGGACCCTGTCATGAGCCAGTGTGCGTGCCTGGAGGAAGTCCACCTGCCGAACATCAGACCCGGGGAAGGCCTGGTAAGCACGCTGACCACAGTCACACCGTCACATGTTAAAGCCTTTCATGGTACCCCCGGCGCTCACTATCAATAGAATCCAACTAGACCTGTGGTCGGCAAACTGCGGCTCACAAGCCACATGTGGCTCTTTGGCCCCTTGAGTGTGTCTCTTCCACAAAATACCACCACCCGGGCGAGTCTATTGTGAAGAAGTGGCGTTAGAAGAAGTTTAAGTTTAAAAAATGTGGCTCTCCAAAGAAATTTCAATCGTTGTGCTGTTGATATTTGGCTCCGTTGACTAATGAGTTTGCCGACCACTGAGCTAGACCGTCTTCAATCATGTCGCTAGGCATTTACCTTCTTACCTGTTGGGCAGGTTTTGTGTCTTCAGGGCATAAAATAAGATCTGGCTTTGGGAGGTGAGCACATGGTGCAACATACAGATTTGTAGCGTCGAAATCCACACGTGTTCATCTGGACCAGTCTCACTGCAATCAATGTAATAAGTAAAAATTTAGAAGTACATAAAAGTGAATCAAGTTTAAAACTGCCCACCCAGACCTTGGAGGAATTGTCTCCGCAGCTTTATGTTCAGGACTTAGCCATGCAAGGACATAGACAGCAGCAGTCACAGAGGGAAGATGGTCTCTGGGTGCAAAGCAGACGGAGGAGCGGGGAGGCTGCTTGGAAGGAATGACTCTTAAAAAACACTCAGAGCCCTAGCCGGTTTGGCCCAGTGGATAGAGCGTTGGCCTGTGAACTGAAAGGTCTGCGGTTCGATTCTGGTCAAGGACACATGCCTGGGTTGTGGGCTTGATTCCCATTGGGGGACTTGCAGGAGGCAGCCGATCCATGATTCTCTGTCATCATGGATGTTTCTATCTCTCTCTCCCTCTTCCTTCCTATCTGAAATCAATAATAATATATTTAAACACACACACACACACACAAAACAACACTCAGAAATGCTTCACCAGTCCTGTCTGAGCTCTACAACACCAGGCCTCATGCCTGGCTACCTAGCTCAGCGCCTGGACACCAGATTGCCCTGTCCCTGGTGTGCAGCCCATGCGATTAGTGTGCTGAAGTTAAGTGAAGAAGTTGTGAGGCCCATTGGTGAGCTTAGAGCTTTCAGTCAGGGTCTAACACGAACCCTCAAATGATTTGGATCTCTTTATTTGGCGGTGTCCTCATCGGTCTAAAGAGAATAATAATAACGGGGTTGTTGAAGGCATTAAGTCAGATGATGGCTGCTGAGCGCCAGATGCTGGGCACTTGGTACAGGTGCCTTGGTGGGTGGCTATGGCTACTGTAACTGCTGTGGAGGGGGAGAGGAGGAGGAGGAGAATGGGGAGGAGCAGGTGGAGGAGGATAGTAGAAGGAGGAGGGAGAGTGCCTAGCAGCTGTGTAGAGATACCAAGGCAGTCTCTGCTCTCAGACAGAAAACCAAAGGCAGCCCAGCATGGACAAGCCCTCATTCTCAGTAAGCAGAGCTGTGTATATGGAGACTGCTCAGCCTCCAGAGTGAGGGTGGATTGTAACAGACGGCAGGGAAGGCTTCTCAGGGGGCAGTTCATAGGCACATGAAACAGACATGGCCCGAGTGGGCAGAAATGGAGCAGCCATTTCAGATGGTTCAGTCACAGCAAGTGCCCTGGGCAGAGGAGTACCGAATGTGGGGAGAAGCTGCTCACTCTGAGGATGAAAACAACCGGAAGGGAGGAGTGGGGAGAACCCTGAAGGTGTTATATTTGCGGAGGTTCTCATTGGAGAGGGTGTGGGTGAGTTCAGGGTCCAAATGATTTCTTGGCAGGATCTACGCTGTTGTGGTATTGATACCAGCGTGAGCCAGTACTCTTTGTCCAATCAGCTTCCTGCTCTCTTTCCCCACCTTATAAAAGCTCAGTAGCTCAACCTACTGAGTGGCTCAGTGGCTGAGCATCAACCTAAGAACCAGAAGGTCATAGTTCGATTCCTGGGTCAGGGCACATGCCCGGGTTGCAGGCTCCATCCCCAGTCGGGGGCATGCAGCCAACCAATGATTCTCTGTCATCATTGATGTTTCTCTCTCTCTCTCTCTCTCTCTCTCTCTCTCTCTCTCTCTCTCTCTCCCCCTTCCTCCCTCCCTCCCTCCCTCTTCCTTCCTCTTTGAAATCAATGTAATCAATCGGAGTATATATTTTTTAAAAGTTTAACGAACATTATTATAACGGACGTGTCAAACTGCAGCAATGTGTCCTCCTCAATGACATGGCAAATTCATTTCTGAGTGTGCCTAGCAGGCCCTCGAGGGAGGAGAGTATGCATCTTAAAAACGAAGGGTGCCTGCTTCTCGTTTACTCCCCCTGGAGTGTTCGTAACCATCTTCGTTCATAATCCTGGTCTGGGCTGTGAGGGGCATGAGCAGTCCCCTGCCACGACTGCTGATCTCCGGTGTAACCGGCTATATTGTGTCGCCGACAAAGGTGGTCAGGAGGGAACCGTCCTCGTCTGAAAAGCCTCATTCACGCTGCGGGGCTGAGAAGATTCCTTCCAAGTCCCCAGAGTCACGGCAGAATTCGGGGAGCCTGGGACCCAAGCCACGGCATCAGAGAGATGCCGCTTCCGATGGCTTTCACGGTGTTCCGGTTGGCGGAGCGGTCCCCACGGCTCTCAGGGTCGTGTTTCACAATGTTCCAGGAGGCCGGACAATGAGTATTGTTCTGCAGGGCCTGCCTTCACTGCTGGATAAGTTCAAGTCCCACTTGCGGCTGCGTGTCTGAACGCTCATGTGTTTGTGACTCCCTCCAGGGCATGTACATCAAGTCGACCTACGATGGGCTGCATGTGATCACCGGGACCACGGAGAACGTAAGTGGCTGTCCGTTCCGTGTAAGAGCTGTTGGGTGCTTCAACCGACGAGACACAGAGACCCATGCTTCTCTTTCGGATGCGGCCTGCTGTTGCGTTGCCTGTAGTGAGGGTGTGGGTGCCGTGTGGCTTATGTCTGTGGCTAGTGCACGCAGCTTGTCGCCAGCTGCTGCCAATGTATTATTTAAATTGCCCTTCGCTGCTCGTGCCCATGTGCCTTGCCCAGCTTTTACCTCCACCCCCTTGTGTTCAGTGTTCCTTTTGCACTCTGGAAGTGTTCATGCGTGAATACAAAAACAGTGCTCTCTTTGCTGTTGAGAATCACTCAACAGAATTGGTAAGCAGACGTGTAAAATGTGGTGTGTGTTTTTGGTTCAGTGAGATTTATGTGTCATCAAAGCAACTATTTTGGGATGTTGGCATAACAGATTCTTTTTATAGAGCTGTGTCTATACTAATAAAAGGGCAATATGCTAATTAGACTGGATGTCTTCCTGACAAAGCCATGGTGGCAGGGGCAGAGGCGGTTAGGGGCCATCAGGATTGCAGGCAGAAGTAGTTAGGGGCGATCAGGCAGCCAGGCAGTTGAGTGGTTAGGAGCCACTGGATTGCGAGAGGGATGTCAGACTGCTGGTTTAGGCCTGATTCCTCTAGGTCCCAGATTGGAGAGAGTAAGGGCCAGGCTAAGGGCTCCCCCACCACCCCCGATGCGTGAATTTCGTGCACCAGGCCTCTAGTTTCATAATATTTGGCTTGATAATGAAATTTAGGTCACCCCCCTATCCTTTGAATGGGGAAGAGCAAGGCTATTTCTACTGCAAGAGACTTTGTACACTGTCACCTTTCTTTTGGAAATTCGGCTACATGAATGGTATTTTTTTTATAGCTCTTCAAACATTTTGAATTTGTGAGAAGTAGAGTTAAGTGAATGCTTTTTTTTTTTTTTTTTGGCAACCTATAATATGGCTAGCTTTTAAGTGACATTGATGTGAAACTTAGAGTGTTTGACTAGCTTCCAGGATCTGTGTAAAGGAAGCCTGTGTCTGTGGAATTAATCTACCATTTAATCAACTAAGACAAGAGGAAATGATTTCTTAAAATAGAAGAAGTTTGGTATGGACTTTCTAATCTGGTGGAAATATGTGTTGAATTTTGAGCTTCAGCTGCTAGGTCTTTTGATAAAATAAAATGGCGTGAACTTTGATGAGAGTTTGTGACACACGGTTGATTTTTGTGGTAAGAAAATGACATTGCTTAAGGCAGTCAATGAATTATAGATAAACTGTGGTTCTGGCAGATGGAGAAGTAAAAGATGGTAGTGTCTTTAAGCATTCTCTGTTGAGCTACACTGAGAACCACTGGGAGGGTTTTTTTTTTTTTTTTTTAATTGAATAAGAGTCATGGGAAGGGGAAGAGAGAGAGAGATTGATTTGCTACTCCACCTATCATTGATTCACTCTTGTTGTGCCCTCATCAGGGATCTAACCTGAAACATTGGCATATTGGAACGACACTCTAGCCAGCCAGGACATCACTAGGAAGTTTTATACTACCTGACCTGATAGGCAATAATAGTACTGCTTTTAGGCTGGGGATGGTGCCAAAAAATGCATAAAGATTACATAGTTCATCTCTTATCTTTAGCTGGCATTTTGTATATTTCAGCTGCACCATGACAAGAATATATTCGTGTACTCCTCATGCACTGTTTTAGGGTTGGATGGATTCAGAAGGATGGTGAAGGCTATTTCAGTTTTTTGAGGTGAAGTTTTTCACTGGCGATCTGGTGATTGAACTAACAACCAGACCTGTGTGGTTCCAAATTCTCTCTGGTCTTGAAGCCATTTCAACCTTAGCTATGAGTGTAGAACACTATACTTTTTCAGGAGGCACACAGATTTTTTTGTCTTCAAAATGTACTCCTCCCCCTTTTGTTTTAAGGATGAGAGTTGAATGAGAGACTAAATAAGTTGCTTTTGAATCAAAAGCAACATCAAATGTCACGATTCATTTCCTAGAATTCCTACCAGACTCCTAAGACCGTGTGACTGATTCAGGGTGGTTGATCCTAGTGGAGATGGTACCCAGGTCATCCAGAGAGAGGTGGTTTCCATCCAGCTAAAGGCAAAAAAGATGAACACCCGTCTTATCCCGTTTGGGAATCCATTTGAGAATGTCACTCACTCTTTCAGACATTCAGCCGCATTTGCCGAGTTCCTGGAATGTGCTGAGCACTTGCTGAGACTTGTAGGTGAGGGTGGGAGGTTAGGGAAGAGTCCACTGCTCATGGGCTTCCTCTGGACATCTTAGCGTTCATGCTGGATGACAATGCCAGCCATGGGGCCGCTTCCTAGCTGTAAGCGCTCTCTCTGACTTCACAGTCAGAATGTCTTCAGGGAAGCCTGTGGTGGGTGGTAGTGGACAGGAATCAGCCACTGCATTGCCAAACCCCTGGTTTCCATAGTCCTCTATCTTGGATTCCAGGCTGAAGCAAAGCCAGGGGCCATCTCAGTCCTCCAGTCCCTATTTTTTTTTTTTTTTTTTTTTTTTTTTTAGGTTATTTGAGAAGCCACATCATTTTTCCAAGGTCAGACTAAACAATATCTAGTGATTCTCTATCAGGATTTTTTTTTTTTTCCCTATGTTGGTCAAAACCTTTACAGGAGTCTTGACATACTCTTGTCTCTCCTGACCCCCGAGATGAGGTGGGCATCAGATTAGCTTGTGAAGAATGGATACATTCTTCTTCAGGTCATCACCCTTCTGCCGCAAACCAGAACAAGCATCGCTTTTCGGCAGCCCGCCTCCCGGTGAAGATAGGCACGGGCCGTGGCCCTGGGGAGACTTTTGGTATCGGGCTCTCTCTTTACCAGTGTTCTGCCAAGCACAGCTCTTAATCACTTGGTTGGTCACTTGAGAAATGAATGCATGCAGATCCTTAGCAGGGGGAGTCAGTTCAGGACACCGGCTTGTGGTGTAAGATTGCACAACTGTAATCAGGGACTCCCTGGCCTTTGAGACCATCTCTGAGAGTGTGACACTTACCTTAAAAGCATCCTTAGCCTGGGAAGATGAACTGGAAAAGTTGGTCTGTCGCTGTGGGTTAAGCACCTGACATGCAGGGAGGAAGGAGCAGTGACACGTGCATCTATTTTTAAGTTCCTCTGGAGGGAGATGGGACTTAAGCCAACTCCCTCCGTTCTCCACGATGCTCGGCTCCCAGGTGAGGCACTGCTGGTTGTTATGGCAGCGTGTGGCATGTTTTTTACAAACAGCAGTCACACCCGGGCTTGGTGTTGGACCTAGATAAACCGGAGGGAAAGTTTCCTCAGTTTCAGGCTGCTTCTGCTCCTTTCTTGCTGAGCCTGTCACAACGGCTGAGTGAGAAAGTTAAGCCAAGTGTGTTTTGAGCTTAGATGAGAACCCCTATCCCCACCATGCTCACAGGTGCTATTTATTTTTTTAAAGGGGAGTTGTCAATTGTTGGAGATTCAGCCAGTTACATAATTTACCAAATAAAATACTCTGGCTTAGGTGACATTTGACTATCATTTGAAATCAAAGGCTTATCTTTCCTGCAAAACAAGGTTGAATGACAGTAAGATTTAGCTTTAGCAATCACTTAATGGGAGGTAGGATGGCGAAGTGATGGTCTTTACATGTTATACAGCTTTCACAAGATTAACTTTGCACAGAGGAAAGGTAAGATGTCTTTTAGATGAACCAATGGCTTTGGTCAGCTCATCATGTGTCCAATGTGCCCCACTTTCTGGTAGGTGACGTGACCCGGCTCTTGTAACTGGCAGGTTATCTATTATAACGGAGCCCTGATAAAAGATAGCACAACCTCTCGTTTGCCTGGTGTTACAGACGATGTAGTCGCAGGGAATGCCGTACATCGTGTAATTTTTCTGGGGAAAATTATATTTTTATCGTTCATGGTCTACAGAAGAAAGAAGGAAGAAGTAAAATCAGAAAGAAATATAAAGTTTAAAAAATAAGACCTCTCTCTCTCTCTCTCTCTCTCTCTCTCTCTCTCTCCTCTCTAATAGTCTCCTGCAGACAGATCCCAGAAGATTCATGCTGGCGATGAAGTCATTCAGGTTAACCGGCAGACTGTGGTGAGTTTTTCGTTGTGAATTCAGACTAAATATACCCCCTCTAATTAAATCCAAAGCCATTGTGCTTGAATTTTTAAAAATTTCACTTTGTATATCCCCTTTTCCATAATGTTAAGTCGTGCCCAGATGGACATATAGGTATCAGCCTGTTGGTATCTATTTGCTCACCAGCGTGTCTCTCTCCTTGAGACACAGTCATGGATTTCATTTTTATTTCTTTGCCTTATTCGTGAGTGAGCCCCCTCTCTCCATGTTCTCTGTCTGCAGGTGGGGTGGCAGCTCAAGAACCTGGTGAAGAAGCTGAGGGAGAATCCCACAGGAGTTGTGCTGCTCCTCAAGAAGCGCCCGTCGGGCTCCTTCAGCTTCGCCCCCGCGCCCCTGAGAAACCTGCGCTGGAAGCCGCCGCTCATGCAGGTGCCCGGTCCCTCCCCGCTGGCGGGGGCGGGGCAGGGGGCATAAGCCTTCCCCGGGGGCAGGGCCTGGGCCGCGCGAAGGGTCCAAGTTGTCCCCAAAAAGCAAGATGGAAGTTGGGAGGAGATTGTGTTAGGAGCCCGAGCACACGTAATCCTCCTGTGACCCTCCTTGTATGAGAATGCACGGTCTGGATTCGCACCGAGCAGTGTAGTAACCGCCCGTCACGGGTGGCTGTTTAGACAGTTAACAGTCCGGCGCCTCCGTCTCACCGGCCACGTTGCAGATGTTGGGGAGCACCTGTGGCTGGGGCTGCCCTCGCTGCGCCAGGTTCATTCTCATCCCTCTCTCTCGCTGGCAGGGCACACTGACAGAAGGCATCCAGGTTCAAGGCTAACTTTAGAGAGACCACGTGGGGCTGAGTTGGGGGTCAGGGAGGGGGCAGTGGGAATAATCCACAGGGTGCGAGCAGCCGTCCATGATTTAGGTGTTGTTCAGAACTGCCAGTCTTGGGGGATAGCAAGAAGCAAACGGACTTTTAGTGAGTTTTGTTATTTACATCAGTCCTTAGCATTTGCTTCCTAAACCATGGGTGAAAAGCAATGCATTGGAATACTCTTTGTCCTTTCTAAGATTAGGATTGCAATTTGTATGTAACTGATTTTTTTTCCCCAAATATTCAACTGGAAGGTATGGCAGTAATTTCAGGCCATCCATTTGGGTACTTGGTGATGCACAGAGCACTGGGTGTGCATTTACTGTGTTCGTGTGTGTGTGTGTGTGTGTGTGTGTGTGTGTGTGTAGGGGGGTTGTATTCACTCACTCATCCCATCCTCACTGCCACCCTGTGCAAGAGGCGCTGTCAGGATGGCCGTTTCAGGAGGCCCACGTTTACAGTATCCGCTCAGAGCTAGGATTTTACCCAGGCACCCGGTTTCCTACCCAGATGCTCACTAAGCATCTAGTCGCTCGGGACTCCCATTAGTGCTGAGGGTCTCAGAGAGAAACACACGCTGAATGCTGCCCACAGCTGTCAGCACCCTCCGACCTTGTGGCCTCGCTCCCAGGGGGTGGGGCGCGGAGAAGATGACGCTGGCTTGGGGAGGGGAGAGGCGGGCCGAGAGCGGGCCCAGAGGTGACCCCACCCTGCGCACCTGCTCCTGTTCCAGACCTCGCCACCGCCCACCACGTCGCAGTCCCCCGAGAGCACCATGGACGCCTCGCTGAAGAAGGAGAAGCCGGCCATCCTGGACCTGTACATCCCGCCGCCGCCCGCCGTGCCCTACTCTCCCAGGCAGGTCCCTTCTGCTTGGTCAATAGGACTCTTCCTTGTAGTCAGAGACTGGCGTCTTATGGCCATGGAGTGTGCTTAAAGCAACAGGTGGTTTTGCATATGCAACACACAGGCGTTTCACTGATGGTTAGTGTGTGGGCTGTTGAAACTGTAGGAAGGACATCTCCCTTCCCTCCCCCCCCCAACTCCCAACCCTGAGTGTTCTTGTTTCAGTGACGGGCACAGGGCAGTGGTAAGGCAGAGGGTGATGCATGTAGTGAGCAGGAAGAGAAGAGGAGCTAGGGCTTTAATCTACACGGTGAGACACATATATACACACGTGTCATTAATGAGGATAAGTGTCTGAGGGTGCCAATGGGTGCAGGGCAGGAGTGGTGCGTCAGGGAGCTTTGTGAGGGGGGAGTTCTAGTCCAGGCTGCAGAGGGCGGAAGGAGACAGACTCCTGGGGGAAGGGGCGCCTAGGCAGCCGGCTCCCTGGGGACACCGCCCCGGCGAGGCTTGTCTTTGGACGGTTTTGGACTCGGTCGAATCTGTGTTTTGTCTGGTAACTCTACAAGGATCACCTGGTGGAATTCCCTGAATGCAAAACATGTAACCAGCTGGTCGCTCGGACCCATTAAAATTCGTTTCAATGTTTAGTACAAGCTGACTTTTAGGAAGGATGGAGTTGCAACCGAAGAGCCAGCGCTTGCCAGTGTCTGTGCTTGGTTCAGAACATGGACACTCTCCGCTGGGGACTGTGCAGGGCCCTTTGTGGGTTTTGACATAATTTTCACATCTCACGGCTCCATTGCACATCAGGGGCCTTTTTATCTGGGTCTTGGCAAAGACACCCGCCGGGCCTGAGAGAAATGGCTCCCCGGGTCCCAGCTGAACCCGAGATTCCTGCACCCACCCACGTAGGTGACCCAGGGGTAGGACAGATGCTCACGGAAGCCAGAGCCCTCTTTTCGAAGGTACATGTGTGCCATTTGAGCACACAGGAAAGACACGTATTTTCCCCTACTTCAGTGTTTCCCAAACTTCTCTCATGATGGGAATCACCTGGTGGAGTTATTAAACTACAGATTCCTGTATCCCAACTAAGAAGTGCTAAACTAGAATTTTTGGGAACCTATAGATAAAATTGTATACTTAACTAGTATATTTAACTGAAATTTTATACTTAAGTAAAATTGTATACTTAACTAAGCTTAGAGCACTAGTTAAGTTACCTATATGGTCCCAAAAATTCTAGTTTAGCACTTCTGAGTTGGGATTCAGAAATCTGTAGTTTAATAACTCCATCAGATGATTCTCATCATGAGAGAAGTTTGGGAAACACAGCCCTACTTACATAGTAGGATCACGGCATTTGCCTTTACTTCATAGGCCCTCTGTGTATTTGAGAAACAAGGGGGATGGAAAAGGCCACGCTTTGCCCAGTGGGAAGGTGGTCTGCACTTCCTGTGTGCCCTCCCGCAGCTGTCCCACGGGGGAGGGCCTTCGTGGGCAATGACATGACCGCCCGCTCCTTCCAGGAACGAAAACGGGAGCTTCCTGTACGGGGGACCCAGCAAATGCCACCGGCCAGCGCCCGGCCCCAAGGGCTCGGAGTCCCCGAACTCCTTCCTGGACCAGGAGAGCAGGCGACGGAGGTTCACCATCGCCGACTCGGACCAGCTGCCCGGGTATTCGGTCGAAACCAACGTTCTGCCCACGAAGATGAGGCAGAAGACACCGTCTTACGGTACTTGTCCGGGTGCTGGTTGTGTGCTGCCCCTCTCCTCCCCGCCCCGGCCTATGTGGCACCGCCGGGTGGGTTTGGCAGGCGCTGAGGGTGAGCCGAGGAAAACAGACCCTCAGTGACATTCCGAGTATGAGGCCCTTATCCTGCTTCTGGAGCGCAGCCTTGCTGAGTCACCGCTCCGCCTGGCATCAGAGCCCGGGGGTGAGATCATGTCCCGCTTTTAAACCTCGGAGCCTGGCTTTTAGCTTCGGGTGGCTGCGCTCCGGGCACCCACAGCCTCCAGTTCAGCACGCCCCGTCCCCAGGGCTCGCTGCCGGAGTGAGGGTGGTCCTGCAGGGGTGGCGGTCTAGATTCCAAATAAAGGGGATGATGATTGAGCCACCCAGTCACCTCCTGTCTCCCTCCCTTCCGCTCCCCAGGCAAGCCCCGGCCGTTGTCCATGCCCGCGGACGGGAGCTGGATGGGGATCGTGGACCCTTTTGCCAGACCTCGCGGTCACGGGAGGAAAGGTGAGTTGAAGCAGATCCCATCCCACCGGGAGCCAGAAGACCCAGGCCCAGATCTCAGTCCCGGTCCCGAAGGAGCTGGGATAACGGGGAGAGGACTTAGCCTTTCTGTGAAAGCAGGAATAGGACCCTGCGTATTTCTGGAGTGGCAGGATTATGCAGCCCTGTCAGGGGTTGGACATCTCCTCCTCAGCAGTGTGCGCTTTGAAAAGGCTGGAGACATTAACGGTCCGGTTTCTAAACAAGTAGAAGTAAATTATTCATTATGCAATCTCACCCTACATTTTATGATTATTGGAGTCTGTTTGGTTTTTCATGAACAAACATGGATTATCTCCCCTCCCCCCCAAATCCTTCTTGTGCTAGAGAGTCCTTACAGTTAGAAAAGAAATTGTGTTCAGTCCTCCCCTTAGTTAGTTGCTGATTGTTGCACTCGTCTTGAGACAAAGGCTTGTAAATATTCTTATTTTTTGCGAGTTCTGTTTGATCCTATCAGCACGGGCAGGGCATTCCAACATGGCTCTTGTAGGGCTAAAACAAGCAGGTGGCAGGTTCGAATCCACAGGCGTTAGATGGCGAAGGGAAGGAGAAAAACATTCTGGAAGCCCAACTTTCAGAGTAATTACCCCCTGACGTCTCCCCGGGACTTGGGAAAGTTTGTCACTCACGTGCCCATATCGCCTGGGTTTTGCTAACGTGGACAAGCAGGAGACACTGCCTGAAGACAGGACACCGTGGCTGACAGGGAAAGTCTGTGGAGCAGTCAGCAGGTGGCAGGCTGTCCTTTGTGTAGATTTTAAAGTGTCAGCATCTTCTCTCCGCCTTTGAAGCTCAGATGTAGCCTTTTATTGCCTTCACATCCTGAGTGATGGGGTGAGAGGCGGGGCAGGGAGTGTGAAATCAGTAAACGGAAACCTGCCTGACCCCCTGACCCCATGCCCACACATTCCCCATATGATCCTGTTAGAATGAAAGATAAAGGTGACAGCTTTACTGAGAGGGAACTCACATATACCTCAACACTCCCTCAGTGGCCGGGAACACCTGCGCGCTCTCTGGTAGCGTCTTAGCGTGGTGTGGGCAGCCACGCCTTGTGCCTTCCTCCCTCAGCCCCTGGCAACCACTCAGCTACTTTCTGTCTCTGCATTTGCTTATTCTGGATGTTTTATATCAAGCAACTCATCCGCCAAGTGGCTTTTTGACAATGGGCACTTTTTTAAGAGTAACTTCCGCCCTTTGATTACAAAAGCAAATCAAGTCCTGGAGGAACATCTGGGAGGTGCGAGGGAGTAAAATTCCCTGCATTCTGCTTCCCCAACCTACCGTGTTTCCCCGAAAATGAGACATCCTCCGAAAATAAGACCTAGCGCATGGAAAGATAAGACATCCCCTGAAAATAAGACCTAGCGCAACTTTGGGAGAAAAAATTAATATAAGACACTGTCTTATTTTCGGGGAAACAGGGTAGAAGCAGTCTGGGTGAAGTTTTCGTAGATACAGTTATACACTTTGGAAAAGCGCGCAGGGTAGAAGGAAGAGTTGTTCACTAATACTGTGTGAGCTGAATATTACCTATAACACTTTTAATAGCTGTGTTAGTATTCCATCTTACGGCTGTAGCACCTGTTTATTTAGTATTTGTTGGACATTTAGTTTTTTTTCTGTTTTTATTCACTCCCCGATCCTATCGTCAGTGATGCTTCAGTAAGCACCTTTGGATGTAGATGTTTGAATGTTTTTAGAGGTGGAATGTTATGGTCAAAAGAAAGCCAAAGTGGCCTGCGTTATAGGTTTCTATTCAGTTTCATAATCGCCCATCACCAGTCCCGGGGGTCTGCTGGCATCCCGGGCGGGGCCGGTCTTTCTCGCTGGGAAATGTCCCGAGTGGCAGAGCGTGAACAGTTCGGACCCACCATGGATGTGAACAGCGTCCGCCCTGCATTCAGGGCACAACTGTTAGCGAAAAGGAGAGACAACAAGCGTTCCAACCCGTAGGGAGTTTTTGTGAGTTTATCTGAGCCAGACTGTCGATAGCTACCGGGAAGCAGTATCTCAACTTATTGGGATAGTGTCTGGAGGAGGGCGGGTTTTCCTCTGTTTTCATACATTGCAGCAAGGAGGGAGGAAGGCGGGTTCCATGGAATCCATTGGTGACAGGCTAGAGAGGTGGCAGAAAGCAGAGCAGAGGAGGGTGGGGACAGGGTCTTTGGGGTTGGATAAAAAGTAAAATGATAGACACCTACTTAGGTGGGTGCAGGAACAATGAAGGAATTTGAGGCCTCTGTCCTGGCGCCCAGCACATTAGGTTGTGCCCCAGGGGCTCCAGAAAAAGGGAAGTTACAAGTTACCCAGACATTTCAAGGATATGCTCTTCTAGATGTAAAAAGACAGATAGGCTCAGTTCAGGTCAAGGTGGACCTTGTCAGGGAAGATACCAGCCTAGGACGTCACTACCCACCGTCACAGCTTCTAGTTAAAGTTTAACTTCAGACCATCCTTTGTGGTGACTTTAGGTCTCTGAGTTTGCACGACCGCCATGCAGGCCTCCCCCGAGGGGGTCAGGTCAGCATGTGGCCCCTTCCGTCCACACACCTCCTTTCCTGAATGCTCCTTCGGGGAGCTGCAGCATAGGAACACGTTCTAGAAGCATGCTCTGCATGCTGCAGGCACCGGGGAAGGCCGATGGGGGAGGAGCATGGAGCTGGCAGCTTCCTGTGTTGGTTTCAAGTGAAACCAAGTAACGGAGGGCGCGCTCTCTGTCTCTGTTCTGCCCACCCGTCACCGCTCAGGTGGGAAAGCGGCCCTAACTCTGAGGGCCCTCCACCATTTCTGCTTTCTACACCCCCAGCGAGGGAGGAGGAGGGCTGGCCCCTGGCCCCTCAGCGAGGCCTCCTAGCCCCTCCCCGGGGGAGGGCAGGCGGTGGTGCCCACCATCACAGGCCTCAGCAGGCTGGGCGGGCTGTGGGCCCCTTAGGCCGTTCTAACGGACTTGCGATCTCTGCCTGACCCCAGGTGAGGATGCCCTCTGCCGCCACTTCAGCAACGAACGCATCCCGCCGATCATCGAGGAGAGCGCCTCGCCCCCCTACCGGTTCTCCAGGCCCCACGCGGAGCGGCAGCTGGTCCGGGGCGCGGACTACATCCGAGGCAGCCGCTGCCACCTGGGCGCGGACCTCCACAGCAGCGCCACCATCCCGTTCCCGGAGGAGGGGGCCAAGAAGAAGGCCGCCAAGGCCTCGGCCCCGGAGCCCTCCCTGCTGGTCAGCTGGCTCACGCGCCTCAAGCTATTGACTCACTGAGCCCGGCCCCCGGGGGTGCCCCCCGCTCACCAAGTGCCTTCCTCCAGCCGGCCGCCGTCCGTCCGGCCGACCGTCCGACCGTCACGCACAGTATTATGTAGACGCCTTTTGCAGTCTGTTTTGTGCTTTTTTTGTTTGGAGAATTGGGTGCCGCCCTTCCTGATGATGGGAGCAGGTGGGTGGGAGCGGGTCCAGGGGCCTCGGTGCCGGCTGGGGAAGGCGGGAGGAGGAGATGGGGAGATGGCCTTTCTGGCCTCCTTCAGGTTGGCACACGGAGATGCACTCTGCAGCCCAGCCCCGCAGCCTCTGCCGGGGTCGGGGTGACCGGGAGGCACGGGGCATCACTGGTTTGGGGGGCGGGATCCAGGGGGTGGCCGTGGTCGCACACATGTATCGGTTCGTGGTCCAGCGTCTTCGCCCGAGAAGCCAGTGGGGAGGACACTTGGGCTTTGCTCGTTCACGGGAAGCCCCGCCGGTGCCAGGGCGGCGGCCTTGACTTTGAGGTCACGTGCCTCGGAAGTGGGGGCCGCAGAGAAGAGGGGTGCGTGCAGACGGTCTCCCTGGCTCATCTCCTTCTCATCACGGTCTCCCTTCGGGGCGACGGGCTCAGGAATGCACCGAGAGGGCCGCTCACACCACAGCCCTGCCCGGCTCCGACGACGGCCCCGCTGTGTGTTCCTGATCGGAGGGAAGAGAAGCTATGATTTGCTGACAGCCAAAGTCTCCCTGGGAAAAAGGAAGCGGCAGGACTGACGTTTGGGAAAGAGACCTTGGATCAGCCTCGCTTTGCCCACCAGAGAAACCCGGGCACGTCTCAGTGAGGTCACAGAGTTTCAAGTAGCGGCAGGTATCTTGGAAAAGCGTGTCTGGGTATTAGCTCCCGTTTCAACCGAATGTATGATATTTTGTTAGAATGGAAAAGTCCTATCTTGTTAATTTAAGCGTTTGAAATACAGGTGTATATTTTTCCTACTCTTAGCCACGCGGAGTGGAAGTATTTCTGTTTGGCGCCGCACACAGAGCTGGCCAGAGAGAGAGGGTGAGGCCGTGTCTGACGTACAGGTGGCTGCTGCGGCCACGGATGCTCCTGTGAGAAGAGAAAGTGAACCCTCCCGAGAATGTGGGGCTTTCTGGCTCAGACATGGGGGTGTTGAGGAAGCGTGGGTAACGTCACATGACATCTGGGGGATGTTCTGAGGTATTTGTAGACAGAGCTGGTGTCCCCCCCGTCAGAAATCCACCCCCCACCAGATCCCTGAATAGTTCCTTTTGCCGAACTTCCAGAAACGCAGTGACGTGGAGATCCGCTGGTGTTGGTAAGCATCTTCCCTGTAGAACGGCCTTGGTGGGGGAAGGGAGAACAGCCCTCACCCATTAGAGTGATTGGATTCAAAGGGGCGGCCTGGCCGGCCTCTCAGGGAGCTGCAGCGATAAAGCCTGCTGCCTGGGGGTGGGGAGGCAAATCCGGGCCAGGAGAGGCTGGGAGTGTGCTTCCCCGGCAGGCCACTTCTGGCACACTGAGGACCAAGCTTCTGGCAGCTTCTGGCACACTGTGAGGGCCCGGCGTGGGGGCGGCTGCTCCTGGGCCCGGTGGCCGGGAGGGAGCTGTGGGAAAGCCTTGCCCCTGTCACTGTGAGGGGGAGCTGGCGTCCTGCCCAGGAAGGGGGTGGCAGCACTTCGCCCACTTCCCCGGTGTTGGGCAGACTCAGCGCTGCAGTTCAGCTCAGTAACAAGGAAAACAGCTTGGAGGGCTTCGCTGGAGAGGGGCTCCTTTTCTGGGGAGAAAATGGCACTGTGATCTCTTGGCTGTTCTTGAGATGAACGTACAGAAGTCCGTCTGAACTACAGGCGGTGCCCAACCCCAAGTTCGGACTGTCCCCCAGAGGCCCACGGGCAGGCCAGGGAAGCTTCTGGGTTCTCTACCCTCAGTCAGCCTCCGCAGATGCATTTTTATTTTCACTTGGGGTTTCCTCCTGAATTGTGTTTAAGAGGCAGATGGCTGCTTCAAAAAAGTTTGTATGTGTCTCTGCTGTGGACATATGTAAGCAATAGTTTAATAGTAATTTCTTAGCCATGAAGGAATGGAACTGGCTAACCTCAATAGTAGCGGGGTTTATGGTGACAGGTGTTATCCCATGAAGATGCAGAATGACCCTTTTTGACATGATACTTTCAAATAGTGATATTTTAGAAATACCACCAAACCAAGTTCCACACATGCCTCTTTTTATAACAAATACTTGACAACATCGCCACAATCATTACATAAAAACCAAAGACGATAAAACCTGTCTTTGCACATAAAAACATCACCCCATTTAAGATTCTGAAGTGAAAAGAGCAGACACTATAACTGGCCTCTGTACACACACATCCATTTAATGTCCTGACATAAGTGTAAGCGTAGGAAACATTTGTAATGAGATAGTCACTTTAATATGCAAATGCTCCAATGCCATTATGCCACAAGGTGCAGTGAAATCATGAGACAGGGCATGCTTGGGTCTACATGGAAAACACCCAGGGATGTGGCATCCACACATGCTGACAGGCCAGGCCTGCTGTGCTGGCAGCTCCGGACCAGGAACAGATGGATGTCAGCAACCATTCTCTAAGACGTGGCCAAGTCCTGCTAAAGCTCTAGATAAGACAGAAGTCTGCAGTAGCGACACTCACAGAGCGCCTACTGGTGGCTGTTCTCAGTCCTCTCGGCTTTATCAGGTGGGTGCCACCGGCTTCCCCCTTTCACATGCCAGGAGTTACCCGAGGGAACCCAGCCCATAACGGTGAGCTGGCATGGACTCTGAAGCAATCTGGTGCTGGTCCACGCACACATTCTCTTGGCTCTTCAGGCTTCCCTTGTCCTACAGAATATTCTGATTACGTTCCTGGAAAATCCAACACATACTAAAACTGGACTAAGAATTCCCTGTGTGTGTATATATATAGATAAAATCAGATTATAGTCTCATATAATTCTAAGCTGGGTTTCCGGCCACATCGATATTTGGTGGGGCAGTTGAATGTTGTGCTGATGGGGGACAGGTCTTTGTTGTGAGGGTCTCGCCTGCAGGGCTGGTGCAGAACCGATGCTCCATCTGTCACCCAGCTTGAAGCTCTCCCCATACCGTGTGGCGAGTCAAGCCTAGCAGGACCATAGCACATGTTTGGTGATACCTAAAGGGACTTACACATAGATTTCATAACCTTGTAGGATATGGATTAAAAAAAATCTTATTATAAAATTCACCTTATCATTTTCTAGGTTTTGTGTTAGGGGTTTTATTTATTCTAGGTCAGGATTATTGCTGGCAGTGTGCTGGATTGACAAAATTTTGACACCAGTGAGGTTCAACGTAAGTAAAGGAAAAAGAAAAAACATCGAATTTTGACTTGCCACAGGGCCATGTAGTTCTCGTTTCGGGTATGTGAAGTCTGTCCTAAACAGTGTGTGTGTGTAGAAGATAATTTTTTTTTTTTTACTATAAAATTCCTCCTGCAATCTGGCCTATGTCTTACTGATTTGGAAAGAGGAGAGAGAAGATTTTGTCGATAATCAAAATAACATCTCTGGGCCAGGAGGCTGTGATACCGTCTTGTAGCATCTTGAGGGCCCCTACTCTGCTCCCCTTTCATAGGAATGCATGTGGTGTCGGGTTCTTGGGAACGGAATCCTGGTTGTGACCGCCCCGAAGCCGATTCTGACATTGCATGGCTGTGTTTAAGAAGCTTCTCTTCTGATTGCTCTTCTGTTCCTGCACGCTGCCAACTTGCAACAGACCTCAGGGATTAGATGTGTGAGGCAACCACTGCAGAGGCGGGTTTCCATCCTACGTCCTCTTCCTCCGAGGAAGACAGTTTGCAGCCTGAGGGTTCAGGCGGGCTCCCAGCGAGGTATCGCACACCCTCCTTCCCTGAGCGGCTGATGGCGCTATGAAGCTGTGAATCGGAGGCTGTGGGGGACAGTGAGGATGTACAACCTCCGAGGGACTGGAAGAAGAGATACAGTCCTCCTGATGTGAAGGTTCTCATCATTTCCTGTCCCCTGTCCTGGAGCGAATGTTTCTGCAGGGATTAAAAGAAAACATCGAGGGGAAAATCATTTCCCTTTGTTTTTTCCACTGATAGACCAATTATCAGGGACTTAAGACAGCTTTATTTTCAGGGTGACAAAGACTGGATTTTATGAAATTCCTTCACCATGTTGACAGATCTTGGTCTGAACATTTTGATTAATCTTAACCATGAAAGAGCTTTAATGAAGTTTAATATTAAGTAATGTTATCTTTGAAGTAAAAGGTCATGCTTTTATTTTGTGAGGGTTGGGCTCTATTTTCATATATACGGTATATCTATAATAATAAAATCATAATATGCTAATTAGACCGGATGACCTTCCAGACAAAGCCGAGCAGTTGGGGCCATGGTGGGGGTCAAGCCCCTTGCACAAATTTCGTGCGTTAGGCCTCTAGTTCTCTCTCTCTCTCTCTTCTCTCTCTCTCTCTCTCTCTCTCTCTCTCTCTCTCTCTCTCTCTCTCTCTCTTTCTCTCTCTCTCTCTCTCTCTCACACACATACACACACACACACACACACACACACACACACACACATATACATACATACATATAGCTGAGGCCATGCCAGGATAAGAGTGGATGAATTTCAGGAATTAGGACCAATGTAGAAATCTTTGATTTTTGGAGTTGGTCTTTAAGAAGTTAGAAGCAGTTGCGGGTTTAGCTTTTGAAGTCTGACAATGCAGCTGTCTCACTCTACCACTTACAAGCTCTGGGACTTGAAGCCGGTTACTTATCTCTGCTCCCCAGCTATCTATGCAATGGGAATGATAATAGCATCTACTTCACAGACTCGTAGGATTAGAGTTAACGTCGGTAAGGCCCTTCGTGTGGTGAAGTTGAGCACCCGGCACTTAATAAGTAGATGCTGATTATAGATGTGGTGTTTATGCCTCTCCACTGCTGGTGAATAAGGCATTCAG